GGGGGGCGCCGTGAGGTGACGCTCAGGAAGCGAACTCCGGTAGCGGCGCTGTCGCCCAAAGTGTTTTCCCTCTCCAGCCCCGTTCAGGGCCCGAGTGTGACGCCGCTGTCGGGTACAGGGTCACAGCGGGCTGGAGCTGCTGTTGGTGTCTGTAGGCGCCCGCGGAACAGTATTCGGAGCTAAATGTGGTTTGGTTCTAAAGACAACTCAATCGATGACCTGTGGGAATATTTCCTCATAGGCCGGGCTCTGCGGAATCAGGACTAAACTCTGCCTGGCACCAGCTTTTGGGAGATGCCTACCAAGTGAGCCCTGGATAAGGTCGTGGAGAAAAGAAGGTGCTCGCCCACTCTGGTTTTTTGGTACGCAGGAGCGTTTGCAGTCGCAAAACCAGCGAGTTCATGGTGTTAATAATTACCCTGGGAGAGCACGAGAGCTGTCTGCGTGTCCATCGGCCCCTGCTGCCGCGATCCGGCAAAAGGCTGCGGCTGAGAAACTGGGAGAGTTCACCCTGGTGTACAGGTTTCCGTGGATTAAGTACTGCAGGGTGCTGTCCAGGCTGAAGCTGTTACAGACGGCCACCACCACGCTCCTGCTGCCTCCCATCTGCTACCTCTATCTGCAGGACCAGGTTTCCCAGAGTGTCCTCTGCTATACAACTGGCGTTGCGTGCTTTGCCGGTGCGATGTTGTATGGTATGAGCTACTTTTTCAGACGAATTATAGGATTGATCTACCTCAGTGAAACTGGCTGTACCGTCAAAGTGTCCCACTTGACGTTCTGGGGGAGACGGAAGGACATTTACTGTCCCGTAGAGGCGGTGGTGACTCTGGATGAAACTGGAGATAGCAAGGGGGAGCTGCTGCTCCAGTTCAAACGGTATAATAGTACAGATATTTTATATTTTACAACTAGATTTGGCCAGATAGTAGACAGACAGAAGTTTACTCAAATATTCGGAGAACTTGAGTGATACAGCAACCAACTTCCCTTGATTTCCCTTGTTGTATGATCATAGTGCTGATTCTCCTGTGAAGTTTACCAAACTGACGTACTTCTGTCATTTTCCTATGCAGAGCCTGTAGAAAGTAGAAATGGTAAAGAACAACCCACTGTATTAAATGTCTTTGCAGCTTGTTCAAGATAGGGCTCGTGTGTCGGATACAGCAACGTGCACGGTGTGCGCCAGCACCAGCCGTTCTCAGCCCAGACTGTCCCACAGCCTGAGTGCTGATGCTGACCCTGAGTGTTTCAGCTGGTCCTCTGGGTTGTTTTGAAACACGAAGAGCTCTTGAAATGAAACCCTGTCAGAGCATCCTGGCTTTAACTTCATGATTCCTTTTAGCAAATTTTCACTGGGAAGCCACTTGAAATTAAAACTGGTCTCATACGTGTATGTGATAAAGAGTGCTGGAGGTCAGAGATACCTGCTCCTGGGTGAATAAACAGAGCGGCGTATGTTGCTGTGTAGGGTCTGGGGGGGCGTCTCTTGGCAAGGTCTTCCAGGATGTGAAGATAACTGAGCAAAACAAGGGTGTGTGGTGCAAGGGATGGTGACAGTTGAGCTGTAAGGGTAAGTTAAAGACTGGGACAGCATTTCAGGAGCCTCTCAGAAATTGCTTTCCCATCGGAATCAAGGAAAACCAGGCTACGGTGCTGTGAATTACAGGGACAGTCCTGGGCAATGTGGATCCTAATGATCATCTGAAAATTTGGAACCACTTGTCCTTTTGCATATATTCATGTTTGTATTTGTTTTGTACGTGTGAATGACATTTAATCAGTGCTGTAACACTTGAGTTGCAAAAGTTTTTGTAACGTTTCCTGAAGTTATCTTAGACCATGTGAATTAAAGAGTCTTCTCCCATATAGCCTGGGAACCAAGTCCTTGATGTGTTTGTTGATTTGGGTATATTTTAAAATATCAAAAGCTCTGTTGCCAAATACCCCTTCCACTCCCTGCTCCCTCAGTTCGGGTTTACCTGAAATGAAAAAAGTAAAACACCTAAAAGTTGTGTTGAATTAAGGCTGAAAACGTGTATTTGTATTCTGTTGAACCTGAAGAGTTGATCCCCTCAACACCTGTGTCCCTGAAGGACAGTGGTCTTATTCTGCAGTGTTAGTGTGATTCCTCCTTTTCCAGAAGAAAACCTCCGTAGAAATGAGGAGCAAGATTTAAAGAGACAGAAACCTGATCACAGAACTTTGGTTGAATTGTCAGAAGCAAAGTAACTCCTGACACTGCTCTTCTAGCTGTTACTTCATGTGAAACTGGCAAATAAACTGTCCCTCAGCAGCAAGGAGACCGGGAGCGTTCTTTGATCTTTCTTCCTCGCGTGTATTGAAACCTCTGTCTCCTGGCGGATCAGCAGATGCAGGTAAGTAAAATTGCCATTTCGGTGCACAGGCTAACCCTGATTCACTATTTATCTGTGGTGAACTTTTCTTAATGGGGCTCCATCATTTTAAATTTTGGCTGATGCTGTGTAGTACAGCAATATCAAAAGGAAAAGAGAAGTGATGCTTGGCTTAGGCACGATGGCAGCACAGTAGGTGGGCTGTGTGCACACACCATGTTTTTTTGGAGGCTTTCCTTCATACGAGTGTATTCAGTATGCTCTCGTGATTCAGTTTATGCATGTACCGGGTGTAAAAAAGCACAGCAAAGTTCAATTATAAATATTTTATTTAAGAATATTGATTACACATGAGATGTCATTTGTTACGACTCTGTGTACAGTTACTAGTTACACCATGAAGTGTAATTAAGTATGTTTAAACATTTATTTGGCACTGTCCACAGTATGCTGTAAACAACACTAGATGCTCCAGCTGCAGTGCTGTCTATGTATTCTCTAACATGATTTCATCAACATGTTGTACACAATTATACAGTTACTGAGTGTCAGTAAAAATTATAAAAACACCTATTCATAATAAAAGTGAAGATGTGGTAAGACTTCAACTTACTGGACCTTTGCTTCTGTAAAAGTACAAGACTTGCTAGAGACATTTACTAGAACTACTGCACTGATATGTTGAACAAACTAATTCCCCAAATGCTGTCAAATAGTTCTCGGCTTGACTTTTCCTTTTGCTGATCATACGCTTACAAGGACAGTGGTGACCGTGAGGTTTTGCTGAACACCAATTTACCAGTCCTTCCCCCAGATTTCTACAACCTCTGTTCGAAAACCTGCTCGGGTTCTGACCAACTGGTACCAGAATTCTGGTTTGTGCAGAGGTTTACAGAAATTCCATTCTTTTTCAGCTGGCAGAAGTAGTGTATCTGAGTTTCCCAGTACCAGCACTCAAAAAATTAAAATGGGAGAACCACGATTAACACTTGTCAAAGCAGGGAAGAAGCCTTTCACATTTTGGTAGCTGTATTAAATAGGTAAATCTTTCAGCTGCTCTGTCTCTTTTTATGTACTTAAAAATTGTGGTCAGATCCTAATAGGGCAGCAGCTCTAAAATCCACTGTGGTCCCTGGTTTTTGGCGCACAACATAAAGTTGAACTTGGTAAGCAAAATGCAGATGCTTGCTAGTCAAGGAAAAAAACCAAAGGCACCAGACCTACTTCAGGCCAGCCTAAAGCAAACAGCAAAGAGTACTAGTAAAGGGGTGTCTGAAACAGTTCTCTGAAGAGAAACAAATTAATGAGCAGTTGACACTTTTCAATCGTGCAGCTTTCTAGAGCTTTGAAGTAGCAGCAACTTAGAATAAACTATTAAAACCAAACCAGAATTACTTTGCATTTTAAACATGCAGTTAGGACTAGCCTTTCACTGCAGTGGCTCAAGTGTCAGGTAACGGCTAAGATCAAGGAGTTCCACTCTAGTTTTACAAAATACCTCAAGTATTCCTGTGGAACTTGTAATAAATTAATGGCTATTGTGTGTTACGGGCAAATGGTAAGATAATCTCAAGTCATTGTAGATTGCTGACAGGTAGAAATACTGTTTCGTGTGATTCCCTAAGCTTTGTCAAACTAGGTAATTCAGGGTATGCTTTTCTGTGTCAGTTTGGTTGTAAGAGAAGTCAAAAGTTTTAAAGTACAGGATGAGGAAAAGTACTTCAGTTCCACCTGGAGCACACGTGGCTGAGGGCATTAGCGCCTCGGCAGCTGGGCTGAGGGGTGGCTGTTCTGATCAGCTGGTGCGGCAGGTATCTGTATTGAAGGGAATAAAGCTGGAAATGGGCCTGTAAAACACTGTACTTGGCAGTGGTGGAAAGCTGAACTTTCCATGAAACCCCAGTTTTATTCCAGCTGCCGTTTGGGAATGGCACTTTCTGTATGGCAGGCACATGGCTTTAGGGGTTGTGCCACGCTCGTTGCTGCTTCTGAACGCAAGAGTAAACCTGCTGGGATCAGCTGTGAAGACAGACTGTACCAGGGGCTGTTTAGACAATCGTGGGCAGGGCCATGGGCATAGAGAGGACTCTGCAATTAATAGGACCCAAGCCAAAAGAGGGAGGGCCACAGCTTCTACAAATGCACAGTGTGGGACAGCTGCAGGTACCTGCTGGTGACCAGGACCAACGCTCTGCCTGCGTCGCGTTCGCATGGAGCGGCTTGCCTTGGGCAGGATTACAGACAGAACACAAACCCTAGTTTATGACTTTACACTTATCTTGTAAGTAGAGAAGACATGAATTAATGCGAACTAATTTGATAATCAGCTGTTCGGTGCGAAGGAACTGCTTTTTTTACTTGAAGTTTGCCAAGATGTCGCTGAAAATATTCAGGAAGAGGTGCGCGTGATGATCCTTGAAGATCAGCGTGGGACGAAAACGAATTGATCTGTCGCCACAGCCTCCCAGCACAACACCTAAAAGGAGAATGGAACAGGTCCTCTAGTCATCTCCACCTTTGCCAAATACCTGGAAAACGCAGGTCTTTGAATGAAGCTTCGCGGAGGGCTGACAGACGCGCTGCAGAGCGCTGCTGACCACAGCCTGTAGCCAGGGGTGCAAAGGGGCCTCAAGCTTCACAGCAGCTCAGAGGAACACCACGGGTGCCTGTAGCTGATCTGGGGAGTCCCTGAAATGCTGGGACAAAGCCCAAGGCCAGTGCCAAGATTTCAGACAGCACCTGAGCCCTCGGAGCTGCAGCACTCTGCTGGTTAAGTACCTCACTGCCAGAACCAGTCAGTCGGTTTCTTTGCAATTTTGTTTTCAAACTACTTCCTTTTTCATTACAAAAAAATGTTAAGATATCTCAGTGCTGGCAAACTTCTTCCTGCAGAGCTTGAAATGCATGGTAGTTCTTCTACTCCAGAGTCAATTAATTGTTGGAAATGTTTATGGCCAATGAAAATTCAGACCATTGAGCTGATCTCACCTCGCCTTTAAGCAGGGCTTTGGTTTACCATGAAACAAACTGCTTGCCTTCTCTCCCTGCTGGCTTAGTTTCCAAGAACAAAAATTATCTATATCTTTTACACTCTAAAATTTTGGTTTCACAATAGTTTAGATGCATCATGCCTGCTTCTTTCAAGAAATATGAGTAACAGCAAAAATTGACAGTAGCAAACAGCCTATGCCCAGTTAAAGAGAATGTCAGGCCTCAGATCACGAGGTTCCCCTCCTGAAACACAGGCTTTTCTACAGCTGGGTGACAGTTCTGCAGTTCTGTGGTTGTAAACCTGTGCCAACTTTAGGCAACTCATATTTCATTCTTACACATTGGAAAAAAAAAAAAAAAATCCATGTTCTCCCTGGGTTCTCTTGAGTGACAATTACATTAACTTTCTTTGGATATTCCTGATCTTCTAGAAGTAAGCCATGCCTAGGTGCACACAACATGAAAGGGAAATACAGGTGTTTCCAGAAACGTGTAAACCACAGTTTTGTTCATAATTTCTCTTCTGTCCTCCAATATTGCAGCATATGTACACCATACGTGAAAGGAGAATTTAAAGCATAACATACATTACCTTTGTTTCTGGCTATTGTAATTAACTTGTTTCTCGTAGCGTCGTTTGGAGTGTCAAATGAACAGAAGGTTCCTCTTCCTCTCACTCTGCTGATAAGATGCGGGTAACGAGCCTGCAAGGAGAGGTGAGCCAGCCCGTGTGGCAGCCGCTGCGACAGCGGGCACCTGGCGGCAAGCTCTGCGCTCGGGTGTGCTGCCAGATGGAAACCCCGCGGCCGCCCCCGCTCGGGTGGGGTGGATCTCACAGCACGGGCTGGATCTCACCGGGAACCCTGCGGCCGGGCTCCCCTTTCTCACTCCGACCTGAACGGCCACAGGCTGCCGAGCCCACCAGCAGGCAGGCTGAACCTCCGAGCCAGAAGTGAGAATCAGTTTGCACTCCTCAGCTGGGGCAAGTAGAATCTCACACGGAGCCTCCTGAGGTGAGTGTCGAGCACCTCACATCTAAAAGGCACCCCAGGGAAACCCGACCAGAAATAATCCAGAATGGGGCCAGAAACCACCTCGCTCTCGTGCTGCGCCAAGACGTGTGCTGGTATTACTGCTGCACTTACTGACAATTACAATCCTCATCTTCTACGAGAGGAGTCTTTTTTGGATAGTACTAGCTGTTTTCTGGCCCTGCAAAGCATGAAGATGATAATTTTTTGTGCTCTCCTGCCTGCCATGCCTTTGTGTTGTGGAGAGAGCAGAGACTGTAGGTGGGCTTACCCTGTGCAAACGCCTTTTGGGAGGCAAGCGTCTGACCCTTAGAGCCTTACCTGATTTCCCTTTCTCTCGAGCTCCATAGTTGAACCTGGGAATGAATCTCCCTTAGTAAAGGGAGGGAAAGCTACAATTTTCTTGGTTAAACAGCCCAAAAGAATTGGAAAATATGAAGGTACTTTCCTTTAAAAAGAACTTTTTTGGACACTGAAATGCTAGGTATTTGTGGTGACAGAGACTTCCAGCAAAATCATTGAACTAGCTGCAGTTCATACCTTCAGATACTCTGAGGGTTACCCTTTTTTTTTTGGATAAAGTGTATAAAACCAGCATTCTTAAGTCAGTAAACCAAAGCTGACTTCAGTTCCAAATGGGACACAGTTATTCAGGCTTGCACTGAAGTACCTAAACCAGGAAGTTATGATTAGGGTCTAGTCCCCAGCTGGAGCTTCTCAGTCCAAGTGTTTAAACTGGATGAGGCCAGGTCCTACCTGATCAGCCAATTTCTCCATATGGATAATCCTTCCAGATGTTTACCTGTAAATCCAGAAGCCCAGTCAGCAGTGCCTTCCCAGCATGGGTCGCATTGTTCAGGAGGTCTTCGCTTTTGATAACCTTGATGACTTCAGCAAGCATGAGGTTCTTGGACGGATCGCCAAGCCACGTATTAAAAATCCGATAGGGCTTGGGAAAAGGAGGGAAGGGAGCTGTGGTTAACAGGCAAATCACTCCGAGAAAAGCAACCCAACATCTGGTGTATGAAAAAGCATGCACTTATCTCAGTAACCCCCCTTCTTCTGTTCTAAGAGCAAAATACAGCTGCCCTGCTGAGCACCAACAAAAGGCAACTACTTCATGCTACAAATCTAGTACATTCTGTCTTGCTCTGACATCTCATTGAAACACGGCTATCAATAACATGGAAATACCATCAATATATGGGGTTTACATTCAAGCATTATATTCTCCCCTTTAATTATTTTTTTTTTCATTTACTACATCTAAAATGTCATTAACACAAAGAAGAAATCTTGCTGACAATCTGCAATGCTGACGTACAAGATCCCAAGTTGCCCTGCAGAAAAGAGTGTCCGTTTGTGGCTGGATTTTGTACTGAAGGTTAGCTCTTTAGGCTAAACCCAGGTTTATGACCTTTGTGACTGACAGCAGCGGGATCAGAAGTGAAGAACTTGTGTGTAAGCACAAAGCAAGTATCTGTGCAATAGCAGCTCCATCCAGCCGAGCCTGCATTCCTGAAGGCAAGCTTGTCTCTTGCCTGGGCATTACAGTTCCTCATGACCGGGTCACCAGCTAGCACAAAGTTCAAGGTCCACTAAAACCTAATCTTTCATTAAAAATCTTACAGCATTTGGCCTGAGCTCCTCTTTGTGGAAGAATCCTCCTGTCATCATCTTCTTACTGAATGTTACCACGTCAGCTGGGTCATCCAGGCCCCAGTGTTCATGTGCCCAAAATTTTCCCGTGCAGCCACCTCCCGTCTGCACCTCATCCACCAAGAACGCACAGCCATGCTGCGGAGATAGAGGCAAAGAGCAGGGAACGTGTTTCCACAACAAAAATCCAGGTACCTTCACAGCATTCCTCCTGCCTCTCCCTTCACTGCTCCGAATCTCCCTCCCTCGACCCCCATACTGATGCACTCCCTGTGCTTTAGATTTCAGGATTAAAAATTCAGCTCTTTTTTCAGAAGGGTGCTACAAACATATTTTCTGCCTACATTCAGAAACAAAGTACACAGGTTTATAGTCTTGAACATTTCTAGAGGATACCTGAAAAGATCTGGGAGGAGTCAGGGTGGCATTTTCAAAGCCCCTGAAGGAAGCAGAATGTCATTCCTAGGAGTTTGGTTTGGTTTAAGTAAGAAGTCCCTGCCTCCAATCTGAGTCAGCATTTGTGGCACAAAGGCAAGACCAGCAGCGTGGTCTGTGGAGTCCAGGGGCTGAAAATGATCCTGGAAGATCATGATGAGTCTGCTGAAAGAGCTACTCACTTTATTTAGCTGGGAACATGTGTCGTGGTTTTTTTCTTATGTGATGGACTATTTTGTTGAAACTTTGGGACAGGGGGATCAAGCTCTAGCATGATACTGTCATTCAAAACAACTGCTGAGTACTTTGTGGCAACATCTCTTTTTAGACAAGGGAAACCATTTTACCCTGTGTACTCTCTCACCCTTGCATGAGCAGCTGTTAACAATGGCAAAAACTGCTTTTTCTCATGGTGGGACAGAATTTTCCAAATGTGACCTACGCTCTTCTCTGCAAGCACACAAATGATTTTAGGGTGAAAAAAGCATGGAGTAGGTCTTACTGAGGGTCATCACTCCTAAACAGGTAACTTGACATTCCAAGAGATCCGTCCTCTCCATTGCTCTATTGCAACATCAGCGCTACGGTTCAACTGAATTTCTGTTTCAGCTCTTTTTGCAATTACAGACGTCAATGAAAAATTATCCTCTTCCAAACCTGCCTCTCCTGAAATTGTTTGAGCCCCCTCAACAAATTATCATTTAAAGAACAGCACTGCAAAATCCACAGCTAATGAATCAAAGTAATTCCTCCCTCTCAGACATTAGAAGAAAATTTATTGGACTTGGGAAACCACTAGATGAGCATCAAATGGTAAAGAAACTACTGTGCTGACCAGGGGCTGCTCCTATCTGAACACATGGGCATGAAGTGCTACTAAGGAGGCCTGTGAAGCTCTCCGAGTGCCTGGGGTGAGGTGGGGGAAAGGCCTCTGAAGTAATTCCGTATTTAGCTACCCCTGAGTGAACAGTGAAATACTCTGTTACCTTTCTGGCAATATCCCGTAGCTTTCTGAAGAAGTCATCTGAAGCATGATTGTCCCCACCCTCTGACTGTATTGGTTCTACAATGATGCCAGCCACAATCTTCTTCTTTTTCCTGTACTTTACAATCAGGTCTTCCACCTGTAAATAAAACATTTATGGTACCTTTTCATCTTGGGACATTCATACATTTCATCCCAGCAAGATTAATCTCAGCAGCAGAGCTTCAACTTTTCATAGACATTCCTGGCTACAAGGGTGCCTGGAATGAACAGATCATTGCTCCAGCATTTAACCCTGCCCTCTTATTCCTGAATGCTGCTTAACTTTAAATCATATCCTAAACACGCTGTAACTAGTTGCATATTTCTCTACAAGGGTGTGAAAGCTCTAGCCAAATTAGGCTGAAAGTAGGGTGGAGATGGCTGCAGCTTGCTCTGCCCTTGCTGCCCTTCCAGCTCCGGTCGCTGTGATGGTCCAGACTGTGCCAGGTTTTGGTTCCAGGGTCAGGGCCCGCCAGCACCAACCCTCCAGAGCGAGCCCTTGCAAGTGACAGCCTGGATCCCAGCGAGCCCAACAGGGAAACCTGTGCTTCTGCTCCTCGGAGATGAATTTCCTCCCTTAAGCCCCGTTCTGCCCACCTTTCCTCTCTCCTGGGCTAGGGAAGGCAGCCAGAGGTAGGATCAGAGCTTCAGGCCAGAAAGCTGCCCCAGAAAAGCTGAAAAACCTGAAATACTCTTATGGGTTCTCTTTGCAGAGGATTATAAGCACGGTGCTCTCTCTTAGTCTGTGGCCCTTTGCAAGATCTGACAGGCAAGTTCACTGTGATACAGCAAACTTCTCGTGCCTGTGAAATTTCACTGTGGTTTGGTTCATGTGTCCCCTAATTCACAGTAAGCTGGCTGTTCTGAAAGGCAAGGGCAAACTTTTGACCATAAACAACGCTGAATGCTGCTTTAATCACATGCTGTCCCAATCCCTGAAAACATTCTTTTAATGAAAAGCAGCTAAATCCTACTAACACTATTCATTATTTCAGAAGAAAAACAACAGAAAGCTGCCAGTGCATTTTTTACCTCCTCTAAACAACGGGCTTCTTCCTGTTGATTCTCTTTCACAAAATCTTCCAGAGGATACTTTAGCCTTGGAAATGGAGCAATAGGCCAGTCCAGCGACGGAATGTCCAATTTGTGAATTGCTTTAGAGTGAGTTGTAGCTAAGCAACCTAAACCCAGAAGAGCAACAATGAAAATAATACCTGTCTAGGAATAATACAGGAAAAAAGCTACCAAGAAGTGAAAAATGGCCTGCCACCAGGACTGCAGAATTCTCTTAATTGCTCTATGTTTCTACTTCATTTTCTGAAATACTGGATTTAGTCAAGCTTAAGTGGATTACTCTAACTTTTAAGCATCAGTTTCTACATGCATTGTTCCAGAGGAACAGAAGAACCTCTGTCCATCTGAACAGGGTGCTCAGACAAGATGGGTTTCCCCTGTCCAACTGCTCGCAAAGCTCAAAGCTACAGCACTCTTGGGCTGCATGTTTAGGACAGGGACTGAGCCAATACAAAATGGTAAAAAAGGAGTGGCCTACTGTTTGCATATTGTGGTATTTTACCCCAGGGCTTAGATTTTTACCTGCGTAGGCAGGAAACCTTGGATCCAGAATGAAAGTAAGAGACCTTCCAAAAATAAACTTTCAGAAAATATAGAATTAATTCCCACTGTCACTCAAATATTCTGTTTCACTACTGGTGGAGCTTCCAAGGCAAACCTTCAGTAAACCTACGCCTTCTCCACTGGTACTCTTTGTCTAAGGGAAAAACCCACTTTTCAGAACCTACAGTGAGATGAGAGCTTACTGCAGTGGCTGAGAGGAGGGAAAGGCCAGGGAGGTGCTGCCGGCCGTGCTTTTCTTACCCAGGGTCCTTCCGTGGAAGCCGCCCATGAAGGAGAGCATGGCGTAGTCGGGGCAGCCGGGGGGCTGCAAGCAGAGCAGAGAGGTGGGCGGTCAGAGTGGTGCTCGGGCAGGGCCCCAGACCCACACCAGACACGGCGGGAGGGCTGCAGCCAGGCTGCTGCCGCTCACAGCATGCCCACCGCTCTCCTCTTCAGCCGCCGGGCACCACACACTGGTGTGTTTACCCACTTGGTCATCCCATAAAAACTGCCCGACCTCCTCAAATGCACCGTTACTACTAATGAATACTTGGCCATTTTTACTGTGTCATATAATACGACTTTGCATGGGAGTTGACGCAAAGGCTGAACGCTCAGCACGCTCAGCCCCTCCTGGTCCCCGCGCTGAGCACACGCGTGCGGGGCGGCCGTGCCCGGGGGGCACTGGGGCTCTGCCAGGAGAGCCTGGGGCTGCCCTGCACCGCGTGTTCCTGGGAACTCACAGTGCCAGCAATGAGAAGGAACCGTGACAAGAGACATGCAAACTGCGTACGATCTGGAATTTACCCCCACCCCTCTGAAATACAAATCCTCTTTATGCCTCTCTCTCACCCTGCAAGCGAGAGGATGGCACCACTTACTCCATTCACATCTTTAGTCCCGTACCCTGCACTCAGCTACAGGGTCAAGGCTCCACTATTTGGAATTGGATTCTGGAGGATCCTGCCTCTAAAGGGGGGTGAAGTTGCCCTCTCAAATCTGTCCCCTCCCCAGCTGTAAAGCAAACTCAGGCAGTTAGCTCAAAGAGCAATCCTAACGTTCGGACAGCAACTCGGACAAAAAGTGATTGTTAGTTTTACAAGGCTTTGATCTTCTCATAAAATTCCTGTTCTCCCAGGCCACGATGTGCCGTCCTCTTATTTGTACCGGCACAGCCAGTCTGACCACACATCACAAAACTGAAAAAATAATTCTGAATTCAAACAAACCAACCAAACAAAATAACCTCTGTAAGAACGCTCCTCATTTTTAAAGTCAAATGAGTTCCCTAATCCCATGTGAATAAACTGAATGCTTGTCACCACAGAGGTGCCAAAGAACAGGCTGGGACCAGCAGACTATTCATTTCTAACATGTTCATCTCAAAGAGGAGATTAAATGCTCTTCTCCGATATCGTTGCACCTTAAGATTCGTGACTGGCAAGAGCCAGACCATCCGGGCTGAAGGTGAACAGGATTTCAGAGGTTTATCAGCTGCACCTCCATTTCCTCACCCTGCCTGTTGTTAACATCTAGCCAAATTTCAACCAACCCCTTGAACGAACAGTTTTAAGCCATAAAAACACAACTTCGGAAAAAAAAACCAGAGGGCCTGTTGTTATTATTTGTAAACTTTTTGATGTATTAATGATGCCCATGGATCCACCCGTTACATGGGCCCCTCTCTAGCACATTATGAATCATGGAAAAAGGGAGACCTTCCCAAGATTCACAACTGGGGAGGATGCAAAAGAATACAAGCAGCAGGTCTTGACATTTGTTGGGAGCAGTTTGTATTTCACTGTTCCTAAAATAAAAAAAAAAAATCCAAAATCCAAACTAGAGTCCTCTTCAGAGACATAAAACCAATTTTTCCTTCCAATCTTGCCTTACAAACTCAAGCCAATGGCACATCTGTAGGTGTGGTAGAAACAATTTTTACCTGATTAATCATGCAAGATTCCAGTTCCTCTTTTGTGACATTATTATGGCCCCTCTCCTTGCTCTGCAAAAAACCCAACAATCCAACATGTAGTTTTCCTGTAGATGTAACCAATGCATTTATGGCTGAACCACAAAGTAGTAATGCTGGTAATTCTTAATTAGAGCAAATGAAGACACTGACTGCAGCTCATACGTACTGACTGCAATCTGCTTTTTCTCTGTTTCCTTTTCTTTATAATTTCTAAAGTTGTGTCAATGTGAAGTGCAAGCTTAGACAAACTTTTTAATTAATATTTTATACCAGACTGAATATAAATTAACATCGTGAACAAGACAACCTCCAAGCCTTACTTTGTTTTACAGCAACAGTTCTGCTGGTGAATACTCATTTCTATATCCAAACATACAAAAAACATTGTAATATTTTACTCACTCTGTACCACAAAAATATTGTTTTAAACGCATTCTCATTAGAGCAGGATCCGCAAGACATGGTGATCACCTGTGGCAGGCCCTTGGGAGCCACCTGTCAATGGAGACAGAAAATTACTCCAGACTCTCAAGCACAAGTGTGGTGCGAAGTGATGATAGGACTCATCAGTCCCTGACATCGTAAGCTCCAGCACAACGGGAGACCAAGCGTGAGGAAAGCCAGTTCCAGCTGCAGCTGAGAGGGCTCGACTCACTTTCCGCCCCAAGTATCTTCAAATTTAAATCAAGACACAGAAACCATTTATTCCACTATCTCTTATGAAAGCACAATGAGCAGAAGTTAGCGAAAATGTGTCTCCTCATCAGTTCTGGAATCCAGAATGAAGAGGCAGCATCTATGCAGAGCAGACACGTCCCCTCTTACGTTCAGCTGCCAAGGCGGGGAAAAAAGGTGCGATCTCATGCCTTGCAGAGGGAAGGCAGGGGGACAAACAGCTCATCTGTGATGTTTCTCTCTTAAAATCCGTAACATCCCTTCATATGCCCGTGTCCCTAAACACAGAACGTGGTAACTCATCGCTGCTCTCTCATACTTACCGATAACAAAGATTCCTTCAGTTTATCTGCAAAGTTCTCCGGAGGTAAAATCCCCAGGGCAGGTCTGTTGACAAAAGTGCTCTACAAGGACAAAGGAAGAGAAATTGTTAGGCGTTACTGTCACATGAAAAATACCACGTTGATATCAAGGGGTACTGATCTGGGTACAAGGAAAAGCTTTTTCTGCCAAGAGAACAGTGAAGCAGTGGCACAGGTTTCCCAAAGAGGTTGTCACCCTGGAGGGAGGTAAAGCCCTGAGCAACTCTCTTTGAGCAGGAGGTTGGGCAAGAGACCACCTGGGGTCCCTTCCAACTTCAGCTGTCCCTCTGGTCCTGAGGACCGGCTGCATCGGGATCCACACCTCTGAGAAAGGTCATTTTGGTGTCAGTGAACAGCAGCTGGTGGGAAAGCGGAGCCTGCGCCCGCTGCTAAAGAGCACCTCTGGCACATCCCCTCAGTCTCCCCGGTCCACTAATGGAGATGAATTTGTCATGTTTCTGCAATAAATTTAAATTAAGTGTCATGGATTAAAATTGATTCATCATCGCTCTTTAGACTTTGTAGGTAATCTTATTTGATTCGCAATGTGCTACTTTTTGTTTTAGATTCAATTTGCTCAGAAAAGGACAAGCTCAATTTGCCAACTGCACAGCAGCATTATCTGCGCTATTTGGTTGGTTGGCTGTTGTTTTTCTTGGTTTTGTTGTAACAAGTCATCGTTGAAATTAAAGGCTGAGCTTCGATGACTTTATGGGTCTCTGGAGGGGACAGACAGCCTCCCCAAACATTCGTATTTTCAGTGCAGCTCAAGCTTGCGTATTGATCAGCATCCTGCAATCTTCTCCCTCAGTATAAGTAGTCAATTATTCAGGTATGTGGACCACAGCAAGAGATGTGAGTGGTCACACTGTACCTGCAGGAACACGCCATCAGAATTCTTAGGGAAAACTAAATATCACCCAAGATATAACAGAGTACGAGCTAGGTCTTTCTAACTTGTGTAAGTCTGTTGCTCCCAAACCAATGGTTGTCTCAACAGACCCCATCTTAAAAAAAAACCCAACCAAGTAAGGATGTTACTGGCAAATTAACACAAAGTTTTTGTTTAGCACGTATGAGAAATCTTACTTGACTTTTTATCTCAGTTTAGAAGTAAATTTTCATAAACAGTTAGAGATACAAGACCATAAATTTGTTGTGAATTTGATTATGGGCTGTCACGGTCAATTGACACCGTTTGCCATTAAGCAGAACAGTGTATTTTTCTGCAGTTGTTAATGAGATACTCAGTACCGAGAAAAACAGAACATCGACATCATGCTGCTACGGTCTCAGATGAGCAGACGCATATTCTGTTGTTTATAGCTGGCTATAAAGAGGGTACAGGGAGCATTACAAACAAACCAAACCAAAAATCCCTACGGCAAAACACCGATCCCATCGTTAACGTGAGACAAGGGCCCTACCTCAGTGTGCATTACTCAAAGAACTTCCACAACAAAACTGGCACCTTATCTGCAGGCAGAGCAAGCTAGGCTTGCAAAAGCTCTGGCTCTTTTTTTTTTTTTAAATCTGGAAGTATTTTACTTCTGGGGAAGGCAGAATTTCTCATCCCAAGGAAATGAGGACACCATAAAGCAAATCAGCTCAGGGAACTCAAATGTCTGCACCTCTGTGACATGCTGGCCAGGGAGACAGCGAGCTCAGTTAATCCGTGTGCTACAACGTGTAAGCTGCGGTGCCAAAAAATGTTACAACTTAAAAACTGCACAAAATCACCACGGAATCAAAGATTTCTGTCCAAGCAGTGAAAAAAATAAAGCCTAAAATAAAATGCAGCTTCATTTCAGCCATTTCTGTAATTTAATCCAGGTTATTTCCAATCACCACCAGTACACTGTTAGGGAGAACAGGCAGGTACTTTCTTTGAGAAGCAGTTAAACTCTGTTTTGAAATAATCCCGTTGCTCCGTTTTAATTCATTTAATTTTTCAAGGACACGTCAGTGGTTTAGTCAACTTAGTACTCAGGAGATGGTAAACAGCCACTACTCCCTCCTGACTCAGCATTCCAGATTTAGAGCATCATTTCATATTCCAAATACTACATTCTCTCTCAAGGACTTATTCTTGCTTTCAGGGTCAAAAATCTTCTCTCAAGAATACTGCTGAATGATTAACTGGAAACACTGGGAAACTATGATTCAAAACTGGCTGCAAACACGTCAAGTTGCCTGCATCACCCAAACATTTACTTCTTGTAAAGCTTCACAGAGGTTTTGGTGTCTTCTTAAAGCACTACCAAGCTCTGTTCATCTAGTGAGAAAAAAGAAAGCAGATCCTATCATACTTTAAATTGAGTGATTAAGCACTCATTATCAGTTTAAGAAAAAATAAGAAAGACGGCCGCGCAAAGAGAGAGAGGACTCCAAGTCCTTAATGTTTTAATTCACGTACCAAGTTCTGTGGCTGCTGCAGAAGCTTTATCAGAGAGGGATGGCTGTAACCTAATTAAAAAGAACAAAGAAAGAAAGCAGTTACTTCTGTCTGGTTTCACTAAACTAATGTAGAACATAACCTGGAGAATAAACTCAATGCCTGGCTGTTTCTGTGCAATTTGCGTATGTTTGAAGTACTACTAACAACGTCTTTCAAAGCAGGACAAACCTCTCTCTGTCTACGAAATATGTTATCTGAAAAAAGTTGGTACCAATTTTGTGTCAGGCAGTAGCGGAACATATTTTAGTACTGGAAGTTAAAAACTGAACACAAAAATAAATGAACATGGCACGGACCTTCTGCCTGGTAGGGCCTGATTGAAGCATCATAGTTTCTACCAAGTACCGCAAGACCGACATTATTAAATGCTTGCTCGCTCTCCTTTCTAGTTTCCCAGGTGCATTTGGTTTCTCTGCAGTGCTACAGGTGAACCATTGAGAGCAGCCACAAGCCATGTCACCCCTCAGCTGTGACACAGCAGCGTCTCCAGTTTCTCCCGTCCGACGCGAGCTGTTCCACGCCCTCGCTCTTCATAACCCTGATCTGCTCGACTCACTGGTCCTCTCTGAGCACTGACCACCCAACGTGCATTTCAGAAACCCATCTGGACACTCGGAACCACAGAAGGAAGCTCCTCACGCAGTCATGTCCATCTACAGTACCTGGTGCTACGCTTCTTGTCCTGCAGCATTTTTTACCCTCCTTGAATATCAGACTGGTTATTCCTAGCACAGTAACAGAGCTTTCCCCTCCTCTCTCTCTTTTTAACTCATTGGATTTTTCCTCATTGTAAAATCAACCTAGAAATATATATTCCCCCCTTTATGCTTTTCTTCCACACAGTTCATCTTTGGCAGCTGACCGCAAGAAAGAAACAAACAAAAACCCACACATTTCCCGATTTCCCCAAGAAAGCTCATTCAGCAATTGTAATTTCAGTGCACTACAATGTATGAACAAAGTATCCGCGAGGGCTTTTTGTCCCTCGGCAGATGGCGCAGGGTAAGGTCAGGGGCACAGCAGTGCTGTTCTCGGGGATGGTTTCTCGTTGCCGATGCGTGCGATGAGCACGTGTTCGGGCACACCCAGGATGATTAGCCCCGGGACTCCAGCAGAGTTTTGCCCACGGCTTGGCAGCGCTCCTTGACGTCTGTCGCAGTTGGATGGATTCATCAGCACTGTCCCCCACAGTGCTGAACGCTCCTGCGTGAGACACTGCCAGACTTGGTTTTGCGACATGCACGTAGTGGCCTCCCCGTTATCTCGGCTTTCACACGTACACACACACCTGTTGGGACGTCTGAAGATGTTTATGCCAGCCCTGCGTGCTGCAGGAATTCAGGCACAATCAGAAAGAACCCGACGAGCAGGACGAGGCTGCACCAACAGCCACGCGCTTAAGACACGCGGACTAATGAGCAGCCACAACCCATTAGTTATTCCAAGACTCCTGTCTGGAAATCTTTCCCTCTCAGTCATAGGTTTTCGCACCTCAGCTGTGCATCACCATGAAAACCTGTTTGATGAACTGCTGTCACATTAAAGAAGGAGATTCTGCACTTCTCATTTTCACTCATGACCAGCTTTTTTTTCCCCTTCCCATTTTCCTTACTTTGACAAACTATTATGTGGAAAGAGGTACAACATCTGTCCCTCTTCTTCAGGTTTAAGGTGCTTAATTTATACCACTGACATTCTATGAGATAATTTCCTTGCTTACAGGTAAACCAAGGTATCTGATGTAAAAAAAACCCAAAACTCTTTACCAAAGGAGCCCAGAAAATGTCATTTTGAGCTTGGGTTTTGAATATAGGAAATGCCAAAGCCAGCAATTAACATCTTTTATATTCCCCTGTAGGAACAGTTGGAACCTCATCTTCCCTGCTGCTCAAGAAGTCAGACCACTCTAATTTTATTACAAAAGCTTATCAAGCCTCTGAACTCCTCACTCTAGTTGAACGACAACAGCCCTGATTATCCTGTCTGAGCAAAGGCTACTGCATTAACAAATCAATTAGAAATTCTGTTTAACTCTCGTCTTGCTTGTAAAAATACGTAGCTGTGCTGCTGCTGTTCATGTGCATGAAGAATTTGGAGATCTTTGCATCTTCTCTTACGGAACACAAATTCAAGGCTTCTATTACCTGTAAGTTACCCCTTCTCACTCACACAAGGTGTCTCTCCTGTTCTCTTCACTTCAGGCTGCGCGGCCCCGTCTCCCTCCTAACCCTCCCCATCCTGCGAGTGCACCCACTGAGGGAAGAGAGGATGCGTAAAGCCCGACTGTTCCGGAAGGGGTAGGCCGGCGTGTAGAAAGATGCTGAACTTGTACGTGGGCTCACAGTCATAAAGCTAACAGCAGGAAAAACTACATGGTTAAATATTATGTAAAAATGGCAGACAAAGTCAAAAAGCTCTAGGCTGAGACAGCAGACAAGAACTTTTTTCACTGTCATGACCAACGCCAAGGTTTGCAGCTCTAAGGATCCACTCTCGGGTACATTCCGATAAGAAGTGACAGAGCTGGCTCTTAAGAGAAAGGCACCTGCATCATCACTCTTGCAGCGTGTCCAGATCAATGTGACAGGAAAGTACATGTCCTCCAGGCTCATGAGAGTGCCTGTCTGCAAAAGGAAAAAAACTGAAGGCTGCTGAAATAACGAGATGGAGAAAGCCCAGAGAATCCATCTGAACTGAGCAGCGAGCTGCTGTCAATAATATCAAACTAAATCTCTCTGCGTCTCCCCGAACCAGACCTTCCCAGCACTGAAAACCAGAATGTTTTGTTTGCTACACCAGGACGCTGGCTAGCGAACACGGTTATAGAATCCCCTCTTCGTCTGGGTCCGTGGGGTTTCTAACTCTGCCAGATCAGAAACAGATTTAAAGTAATAAGCTGGGCTACAGCTTTCCATAAGTGTGGTAAAGAAATGTTTTAATTTTTGTTTTCCAGCAAGAAACAGCCCAGCACATCTTTCCCTGGAGGTTTTTTATACTTTAATTCTTATCTCTCCACACAGGCACTTATTACCTCTCAACCTCTGCTGATAAATACATTCTAGTGTAGTAGATCATTATTAAATCTTGGGAGTCCTGACAGATTCATAAGGGTTTTACTGGATCTACTTGCAGAGAGACAAGCATAGATGACCAGCAAGCACCTTGTGATCTTGTTTTGGTGTCTCAGACTAGAACTGAACTCTTTCACCAAGAGCGACATTATCAGCAACCTCTGCAGCTTCAGACAGTCAGTCTTGTCATTCAGTACAGTTTAAAAACATAACTTAGTGCTGTGTCTTCAGTCAGATTTAGGTCAGCCTGTCAGTATTAAATTTCCATTTGCGTCTTGTTGCTACACGTTACAGAGCCGTTCCCTGAGAAGGTGCATGAAGCACTGTGCTATAGTTCCTTCCTGATGGAGGGACGTCCTGCAGGACAAAAGCCCAGCTTATCCTCCAGCAGGCCGTGCCACACACATGAAGGAGGAATTGGAGATCTGAGCTGAGGATCCGTTATAGGTACTTACGTCACCGGTTTCAGTCAGTCGGATGAAGCAAACTGCAGAAGCCCCTATCCATTTCTGCCCATTTTGAAAACGTTTCAAATATTTTATACACAAATCTGTATCATCAAGAACCACAAGGTCAGAAAGCTTCAGTGCATTGTCTGTAAAACATTAATTTCATTCTTTTGGAGTATGTACTGACTCCTTCGACAACATGACCGTGCACTAGTTTTTCTCCATCGGTACTTCTTGTGTGAAGAATGGGAGTTTTTGAAGACTAAATACAATTCCTTTCCTAAAAACCTAGAATCCAATCCCGTCTAAGTCAGATGAGCATTGGCACACACGCATTGTGCTCCATCTCACCTCTACTTCCACATGAGCAGTGACAAGTTATCTCTGCAGCCTCTAAAAGACAAAAAATATCTGGAACTTGTGTTGATGAAAATAAGCTACAACCATTGAAGAGTTCTGGAATAATTACACATTTATTGAAGTGCTACACAAGAGTAAAAATATTAACTGCAAAGATTGGGATAACTGAAAACCCACTGCAGTCACAAGGTCTTAGAGGCCAAAAATTTGGTAACAACTTTCACATTGCTAAATTGTGTTTCCCAATAAAGAAGGCCTGTAGCGATGATTTTGAGTCGTCCCAGTTTCTATACATAGCGCAACATCTGCCTTTCGAACTACCCCAGCACTTCTGCTCCTTTTTGCTTCTGCAGAAATGCATTTTTAAGCAACCGACAAGAACCATGGACAGGGAACAAAGAGAACACCTACAGAAAGCCGTATTCCTGGCAGATGGGGCCTCCATCTCTGCTTTGCCGCTTCTCCTTCTCGAAATGCTTCAGGAAAAAGTCAGTTGACTTTGCCAAGCACATGGCTGGGTCCCTCAGCCCACCTGCCCTGCCCCCTCTGCTCTCACTCAGCACCACGGTTCGGTGCTTGGTCTTGTTTCATCTGGCTGGAGTCCTGTCCTGGTGCCCAAGTTTTTTTTTTTCTTTTTTTTGTTCTTTAGCAATAGAAATGTTAACTAAAGCATATAATTTAATGTTAAAATGCTTACATTATGTTTTTTAATGTTTAAAACAGTAATACACTGCCACAGAATTGCAAACGACACAAATCCAAGCAAAGACAACCTAAATTGTGGAACCTGCATAGTCAAATACTAGAGCTCTTCTGGGTCCCACTGTGTACTTCGAGTGAGCTGTAAGATCTTAATTTTTAGTTTCTTCAGCTATTCAAGAACATCTACTTAATACAGGGCAGCGAGACATACCTGGACTGCAGCAAGGCACACACAGTGTCAGCTTTGGTTTTTGTCAGTTTATCCACCGACTTATCAGGTCGTGGCTAGGAAAATGGCAGCTTGAGGACAAAGCAAAAGGTTTTGGTACAGCTGTCTCCTACCTATTGGGATGGATGAAATCTGAGAGTAGAGATCCAGCATGCGATTGCCATCTACATCTACTAGGTAGTTCCCCCGGCTCTCTTCGTAGTTGCAGAAGAAGTGTACAGCTTCTGCATTCTTCAAGGAAAAAACAAACAATGAATGCTTTAACAAGTAGCAGTGTGTAGGAAGGTGCAACTAATGGTTACACAGCAAAAGCTGACAAAAATATCTAAAGATACAAAAGACATATTATACTAATTCCACTGGAATTAACTGTAGAGTTATCTTTATAAAGAGAAACTGTTAAAAGAGCAAGTGTGCACTTCTACAGAAATACAGCCCAGACTGTGAAGGACCTTGGGAAGGCGGTACGCACTTAGCTTGACGTATGTTTAAGCTCAAGCTCAGTTACACCCGTGTTTTCACTGGCCACTTCCTAACAAATCAAAAGGCACATATAGTGTTTAAAGAAAAATCACTCATCCTAGCGTAATAATTCTGCAGTATTCAAAACATACTAAAAAAGATTTAATTCAAATGCATATATATCCTGTGCAAAACATCCTCAGCATGGAAACCTAGAGGCAGTGTTTCATGTCTTTTTTGTGTTCAGGGAATTAAAACATACAAAATGAGATTTTAAAACAAGTTTTGAAATCACAGTATTAACACTTCCCAAACTCTAAAAACTTGACAAATTACCTGAATGCCATTCAGCTGCTTCATTAATTCCTGCAGGAAAACAAACATCAAAGAGTCTCAGGAATGTAATTACCAAATACTGAAGAAGAATGTATGTTTCTTTTTTATGATTACATATACTACATGCAAAACTTCATCCTAGGTCCTTATCAGGTAACTCCGCTTGCCACAGGAATTTCCACAATGCATCCTGCAGATGTTAGTCAGAACTGTTACCTGTGGCATGCAGAGCTACATGGGCTGCAAACACAGTTTAACTGTAAATCTCCAAAAAGGGAAAACTGCCTCTTCTATGTTTACCAACTGAACTGAGAAAACAAGAGAAGAGATCAGAAAACAAGAGAAGCCAGGGACATATAGAAGGGATACTGGCACATCGGTTCTAGAAAGACAGCTCTTTTTGAAAAAAAGGGAAGAAAAAAACACCAAAAACCCCCTCCCAAAACACCACACACATAAATACAGACTCTGTCAGAGTAAAACAGTGTCCAGCAAATTGAAACTCTTGCTTCATTTCAAAACCAAAGCATTACTCCACATCAGAAAAAGCCAATTAAGTTCCTGTTTCAGCAGCAGCACAAGTAACCAAGGCGGAAGAGCTGCTTCAGCAGACGGATCCTCTTTTGCTTCCCATTCCTTCCCAGGGGCAGGTGGCAGCTGAGATTCCGATCTCTCTGTCAGAGGGGCCCTTCATTCCTGCGCTTTTCACTCAGCGCATCTTGACAGAAGTGGGCACACACTGTTGTGCAATGAAGTTTGTTCGTATCAGAGTGAAGGTTTGGAATGAAATTTGGTTTCTAGCAAGGCAAAACACAGCTGCATTAAAAAAAGAACCAAGCTGCTACACTTTAGGAACTTACTCGAGATCGTGGTCCAGGAACCTCTGTCTTCATTAGGGGTCCATCATAATCAAAATCCACATCAATTTTGGCTGCAGCTTGACTAATATATCTGTGCCCTGTAAGAAATAATGAAAACCTGAGTACAGACTGTATTTTCTGTGGAAAGTACAGAAGGGGTCCTGTGATACTGCTTCGGCAGTGTTTGCAATTCAGCCATTTGGCCAAAATTTCCAGCAGTGACTAGAGAAATTTGCCTCTGGTTGTGTCAGCCCGAGTTGAGAGGTCTCAAGCAAGCCTGATTTTGAGAAACTATCTGAAAAAAAAATCACAGCCCTTTGAAAGCATCTCTGAGCACTTAAATTCACTGCTCATTTTGGGAAAACCAGTCTGCAGAGACACTTATTCTCTGCAGCTTTAATTCCAAGTCCTTGTATCTGAGCTGCGTCAGTGCCTCTCCGCAAAGCTATTAATAGGTTTTGTTACAGCAGTGCCACTTCGTTTGCGTGTCATTCTGTTCAGCGTTCATGTAGATGGGAGACCACACGGCAACTGCTCCGCTGGAAAAATAAAAGCTACTGCATGTAAAAGATCAGAAGCTACACAGTGCACAGCCAATAAAGCTGCAGATTTAGGAGATGCATTATGAAGTCTAAAAAGGGGAAAGTGCCTAAACCAACGCTTCTGTGCACCCTGCTCCTTCCCCAAAGGAGGTCACAGCAAACATTTCTCCTCCTGCGACCTCTCCCTCCCCCCAGGCTCTGGGGGCTTCTTGGTGCCGTAAAGGAGACAGCACCAAGGGAGGAACAGGATGCACAGGACGTTGGGGAAGTCAGCAGCAGGAGGGAAGATGTGGAATCCCAGCAGCACACTCGGAATCGTCTGACAGAGCTGCAGATTCCTGACGAGTGAACTCCAACCTGCACACACGAGCCTCCGCCTCCGCCTGCCCGGGGCCGCAGAGAACCAGTGCCACCGCGCCCCCGGCTGCCCCCAGCGCCCTCCCACCCGCGGCCACAGCTCGCACAATCCTCCTCAGTCTTTTTAACCGAGTTCTCATAAAAATGCACTTGTCTGGACAGTGATTAAAGATTTCCTCTTCTGTTCCCAGCCAAGCCACTCCTGCACACCCGCGAGACACCCGACGGCCGGGCTCTGAAACCGAGACCGACAGCCAGCTGGGAGGTGTGGGGGCATCTTCCCCTCCTCCACTTCCCTGAAGGACAGTCTCTGAAACAATTTATCAGGTGAGGACTCTAAACGAAACACAAATGTGATTATTTCTCCAAGAAAGTTCTGCTGTGGAAGGGCAGGGTATGCCCCAGCTGCTGGCAGAGCTCACGTCTATCAACAGACAGGGTTTCCTACACAGCGAAGACTGGTCAAGTGCAAGTAGAACACACAGACTTTCCTGCAAGCAAAAGGCAATTTAAAGATCATTTTTATCAAATTAGTAATGTTGGTCAATTTGTGAGACATTATTTTTCCAAACAACCGCTCCAGGAGCACCTGATCCAATCCACAATCGTTTTCACTAAGTCTGTGAACCAGAGCCATGGAAAAACCCAGAGCACAAGCGACAGGTTTCCCTTCACGTGTCTGTTATCTCCGAAAGCAGGCCACGTCAGCAAGCCCTACAAACGATTTCCAGGCTGACTCACCGATACAAATTTAATTTTACATACTTGTTTTCAGGAGCCCACAAAGTATCTCATTTTATTAACGCCAGTATAACGGCAGCTGTAGCGATTTATTGATCCTTACGCTTGCCAGAGAGTTGTTTCACCTCCTAGCTCGGGCAAATGTTATGGTTTGAATTTGGAGGAATAGCTTGCCATAAATAAAATGAAAATGCCCTGTGTCAACAGATCAAATAATTTTGAAGAATGCGAGGGGTTTTTTTCCTTCCCCTTAGGTAGAGGATACCAGCTAGAACAAAACCCTAAAAAAACCGAAACCTCAACATAACAACATAGTCTTTGACAGCAGAAGTTAAAATCAAAGTGGAGTTATCCTCAAACTTTTTGGTTTTGAATGCAGCCCTTATCCCCTTGAGGGTGTGACATGTATGACTGGCACCACCTCACACAATTTTTAGCAAGGTCAACAGATTTATTCCAAAAAAATTCCACTTCGCTATTCATCAGATACACATTCTTGTTCACAGGGTTGTTTAAAAATAAACAAAACAACCCAAATGTTAAGAACACGAAAACATGGTTCCCCTGCTTCCTCCCTTTTAACTCTTTCTTTGTTTTTTTTTTTCTCTCTCCTTCTCCTACCCTTATTCAAGTAAATTGAGACTCTGATGAGAAAGTTTCGTGACAGTCGCAGTGGCTGGCTCCTGCCAAAAGCTGGGTCTGTGCGACCTGCACGGACACGCGGGTTGGGCACTCACTGGCACGTACACGCCAAGAGCTCTCCTCGTCCAAGAGCATCTTAACAGCACGAACACAACCGGCCGCGCTGCCCCACGGCCCCAGACTTTTGATGCCTAACGCTGCCCGAGTGCTCAGCGACCTGCCTGAACAAATCATAGAATCATAGAATGGCCCAGGCTGGAAGGGACCTTAGAGATCATTTAATCCAACCTCCCTGCTGCCAGGGACACCACCTGTCGACTAGATCAGGCAGCACATGGGGACTGAAAACGAGGCGAAAGGACGCACAGCAGTTGTTACCAGCTGAGGACTCCGGCTCAGCTTAACGCTGCCCAGCTCACCCAACGGAGGCAGCACCCCAGCCCCCTCCCTTAAATGTCCCTTAGAGCCACCTGGGCTGCCCCTGTCACACAGGTGAAGTGTGGAGCTCGCGCCGCTCTCGAAAGGCGCTGAGGCCTGTGCCCTGGTGAAGGATGGTCTGGCCACCTCATAACTCAGGCTACTCCACTTTGATTCTCAGGAGTGTAGACGTTTACACATCAGGTCTTGGTTTTGAACACCGTGCTTTGCCTCTCCAAAAGACGGCAGAGATGGGACAGATAAAAATGGAAATTCTTATTGTGTCCACGCAAGGTATTTTCACGAACTAAGAATCCCTGGTGGCTGCTGCTTCAGTGAACTAACAGCATCATGTTTGTAAGAGAAGAGCTACAACACAGCAAGCGCCACAAAGGTCAAATGAGACCTGTGTCGCTCACGGTGGAGGAGCTGAAACTCCAACAAACCTGCGCAGTGTGTATGTTTATTCTGACTTTGTGTATGTTTATTCTGACTTTGTGTATGTTTATTCTGACTTTGTGTATGTTTATTCTGGCTTTGCCACTGACAGACCAACAGCACATGCACATGATACTGATGTGCCTGTACTGCCCTAACTCCTCCACGCTGACAGTTTGGTTGTTGTTTAGCTTCTTCATTTTAAAATTTCTTTAAAAGATAGAAGCTTGTCAAAAATTGGCCTAAACATCTCCACAGATTTCTTTTAATATAATTTTATGTTAATATTCTTAAATTCATATTACAGTAGATGTTTAACCAAAGCTTCGCTCTTGAGCCAACAGACCAAGTCAATCCACTGACTCTCTGCCTGGGTTTATGATCAAACTGCAATAGGAAGAGGGTTTCTCGTGTTAGATTGGCTTAACTTAACAACAGGACCAAACGACATGACCTCAGCTCTCATCTCAAGAGTGTGTTTATCTAACAGGCTACAGCAGAGTGTCCCTCTCTGAAGAAGCATTAAGAAAGACCTTAAATTACATTTAGCTAATCTGACCGAGAACAGCACCCCCTTTTCCCCGGTAAACACGTCATGGCCAAAACCAAAAGCCAAACGTACGTGCTGTCAATGAACCAGAGAGCACATCAGCTGAACAATTTGCAGAGAATTTTCTACCCATCCCATTTAAAGAGGGTGTGCAGAACAAGTTAAATTCTACTTTTCTTGCTTCTTGCGGACTTCTCAAAGCTCTATGCAAGACACATAATCTTTCTAAACACTTCAGTAACATCAGCAAATTACCGCATCCTTCCTTTTCATCTAACAGGATGTCACAATTTGCTAGCAGACAGAAAAGCTCATTTTCCAACTTCTTTTTTCTATGCTACCCTCATCACTCCCCAGGTGTCTCAGCAATTTTTAACGAAGTACCACATTGCTATAGCAACATAATTTATCTAAGCACGCCCTTGGAACATTTTGTGATGTTAGGAGTCACAAAGAGCACTGCTGTTAGTAGGTCTCTGTGCTAAGTCGTGATCTCTGCTAACAAGAGCGAAGTTACCATAGGTCTAGAAAGAAAGTGCTTAAACCTCTGATATGTTTGACCACAGATAACACTCATATAAACACTGTTCCTGATGGTACATCTGGGAGAAACTCCAGTAGAGGCACTCGGATTGCATCACTGTAATTAAGAGAAGCAGTTACCCCAAGGGAAGAAAAGATGGGTGACAGTCACAGGATCATGGAATCACAGAGAATCCCAGAATGTTGGGGCTGGAAGG